CTAGGACCTCAAGTGCAATCCGATGCAGTATTCATATATCCTGTTGGGCTTTTCTTTGGGTATCCGTATGCCCTGAGTAGCTGTTTTGGTGGGTATAGATAAGCTCTGAAGTGCTGTGATATATCCTGTCCGTAGGCCTAACTGGACTTTCGTATGGGATGACCCATATCTCGTGAAGGGCTAGGCTATGGCACATCTTTTCTTGTTGAAGATCTCTGCTATGAATACGGGTAAGTTATCAATAGCTGCTTTTTTTTTGGCGTGTTTCACATTTTGGGAACTGTCTTCTTGTGTTTCGAGTTACTCTTGGATTTCTATGAGTTGTATCAGTTTGGCATAAAATTAAGTTTCGAAGAGATACCGAGCGCCTGCCACGATGGCTTTTCAAGGAGGTTTTTGCCGTATGCGTCAAAACTGTAGTAAAAGCGTCTGTTCCACGTGATATTATGATTATTTTAGAATGCTCTATGAAATTCTGCGGGTTGTGGTAACGTAAAATGTATGTACCTTAATCATCCTTTAGGAAATAAGAGGGCTAGTTATCCATACTTGATGTAATTGGGTGGCATGTTTGAGTGCATTGAATTGATATTCTTTACTGTACTTTTGTATAGCTTGTGGGATATTTGGAACAATTTTTGCTGCTCTCTAGTGAAAGATCTGTTCACAATTGCTTGTAAGAGAGGTCCTGTTTGACAGGTTACGATGAGTGGTGTTGAAAAGCGCGTTGACAGCTCGAGCTCACTCGATTAAGAGCTGGCTGACCAGGCGCACCTCAGCGAACTATGCTGATTTTGACACGTAGCTACTTATGGGTATGCCTCTAGGATAAACCTTGAGCATCGCTGAATTCTCTCGTATGATCACCCTTGGCAAATTATGGATACTTCTATTGAATACCCTGGTGAAAATCTATAGATAAACCGCTCAGATCCAAAAATCCGACGACGGATCCGATCGGATCCGACAATCGGATACTCAGCCGTTTCCGATAATTTCCGATTGTAGCAATCCCCATTTATTCCGACGGTCGGGCTCCGATCGGATTTCTATAGGATTCAATCCATCTTTGAATTTGTGGTCGATCTTATTTATTATGACAATGTTTGGAAACTAAATTTTACGTATGCGAGCCGAAAAGTCTTATGAATTGTAGCCACTGAAATTTAGTGTTTAATATGCGTTTGGGATTGCTGGCTGCCGCAGGGCAGTTATTTTTTTCTATTCTAAATTGCCTTGATCAAAGAACTTACAAAATGACTCTACCCACTAGAAAGCTTGTTGGCCTGATACCAGCAAACTGACTGTTTTCAACAGAAGCATTAAGGTATTTGTGAAGTATGAACTGAAAGAAGTGCTGAAGTACAGAAGTAGTAAATTCGATTCTATGTTTCTGCAAAATAGACCGGAACATACACCAGACCAATACGACATTATAGCTTGCGATAGATATGGTTTCCAAAGTAAGATTTTTTTCAGGAAATGTGCTGATGATTTAAAACTACATATTTGCTCTAATATTGAAAAGTATATTCATTGTGGTCAAAACCACAAGTCAAACTCTCTTAGATGTCAGGTAGTAAAATTGTTTAGATCTGAATTAACACGTAAAATTTTATCTTCCAATAATCGTTCAACTTCTTCCACCACCAACACCTTAAACACCTTAAACAACATGAGCAACTCAAACTTCAAATATTTAAGTTCTGATTTTCCACCAATGCGTATGCTTCAATTTTTACCAACTAGTCCTAATAGAAATTATTTTTCTTCGCGAAACATTCAGAACGAAGTATAAAAACTATGCTTCGCTTTAGGAAAATTTTCATTAAAAATTTAAAAAATCGCTAAAGACCTATAGAATTCTATGTAATTTGTTTGTATATATGCACGCTTAAGTTTCTTGGTATTTGCAACATGAGAAGATGATCAGTTGGATCATCTCTTGAGCTCCAGATTTCAAGTCCTCTATGTGAAGCACATGTCAAAATCAAAATTAAACCGAAACGGGAGATCATTTTCACGCTTTTTATTGAATGTTTTGCCAATATGATACATTTCAAAATAATTTTCCTCTTCTATAACATCTGGCAAAAAAACATCCCCGAATCTCCTCTATCGATTGCTGGAACTCGTAGGTATCTAGCTGATGCCGTTCTCGAGTTATCGGGCTTGCCACCACCTTTTTTTAATTTCGGCGCAGATATTAGTTCTTGGGTTACGCAATAGTAAATTTTTATTTTAAGAACACTGGAATAGTAAGTTATCGGTATCGATGAGCAGCTGTACCAGGAAACCAAAATAATGCATATTATCAGTTACTTTGGTAAATATCCAAGGGAACTAAAAACTAATGAAGACGGATAATAAAAAGTACATAATGTCAACAATGCCCATCAACTCTTGTCTGAAGTTTCCTCAGTATTTCTCATCCCTAATCGTCGTCACAAGAAGGGGTCATACAAAGCACGTCTTGACTAGCCCAAAATGTCGCTGAACCTCATAATGTCTCGTCCATTTGTCTATGTATCCGATTCAGACTAGTCGATAAAATATAAACAATAAAAAAAAATGACAAAAGTGAGTTGGAATATACAACCCGACAATACCCAATAATACAGAAATACCAAAATCTTATGGCACGTCTTACAAAAGGACTGACGCCTCTTTAAATACTTTCAAAATCAGGAACACAATCGCCCATCAGATAACATAAATAAAAACTGATTTTAGAAAGTGCAATGAATACTGTCAAACTTCTTTCAGCAACCGTGTGAGTTAGTCAGAAAGATGTTCTATACGTGCCACGACTAGCCTGACTTTTATAATGTATCGTCCGTCATTACTGATTCAGAATATTGTTGAATTTCTTAAACTCACTTGTCTCGTACAATGTTGTGTGGCCAATTCTTAGAGTGATACAAAGAATACGAAAAAACAATGCAAGTAAAATGTTTCAAGATTTGCCTAGCTTCTTGATAATGAATTGTGCGCGAAAAGATGCATTCAGAACATGGAGAAGATAACAGAACCGACATCATTTTGTTACCTATGTTTGTCTAAAAGTCAACCAACGTTACAGATAGGCGTCAAAACAATTTTTTATCATATTCACTTGCGTTTTTCGCTGGCTGCAACTTTGCTGAAAGAGATTTTTTTACTGATGATGAATTTCTTCAAATGAATTTATTGGCGAAAACTACTAAATTCAATAAAACTAGAGAGGATGTGGGTGTGTGGGTGAGGGTGTGGGTGGGTGTGACTAGGGTGTGGGTGGGTGTGTGGGTGTGGTTGTGGGGTGTGGGTGTGGGTGTGGATGTGGATGTAGGTGGGTGGGTGTGGATGTGGATGTA